TGAAGCACGTAAAGTGATTGTTGATAAAGTTTCTAAATGCAATATCGTAACAATCGGTGTTAAAGAAACAGCCTCAAGCAATGTTTGTACGTGCACATTCAATTTCTTGACATCGAAAATGAAAAAGGAAATACATTTACTTGATACGATAAACGTGGTTAATATAAAATTATTTGCTTGAATAATTAAGATTTCTATGTAGTATAACTTTACACGTACAAAATTGACAAGAGCAAAGATATACATCTGAAGAAATGTTCAACGAAGTAATAAATGCTGAAATTGAGTGATAAAAGTGTAATTATTACATTCTAATATACGAAAAACTCGCACCATATGAGTTAAAACGGGTTACAATATTTTGTTTTGCTTATAAATGATTCACAGTTCGAAATGATCAACTTATATCAACTTGTTGGTGCACAAAACATCGTTATATGTAAGCAGAATTTCCAAAAGGAAGCATGCATAACCGAACAGATTGCTGGCAAATATGATAGTCTCTTATGGGTAAAGCGAGTGTCTCATCTAAAAGTTTCAGAATGTTTAAGTAAGCTTTCAAAGCATCCATAAGCTTTCCTTCTTCCAAATTTCTCGAGGCGACCTTGAAAAGTGCGTCTGTATCCTGTAACGCTTTCAAACCTTTAAAAATATTTGTGTTGTTGCCACATTTTGAGCATTTGATTATAAACTCGTCTGAGTTCGTTCTGATTGGCAAAATATTCCCGCATTCACGCCCAGTATCACACTTGAATCTGAAGAAACACAATATAATCTGTTTAAGTGTTTATTTAAATAGTCAAATATATATATCAGATGTAATGCTTAAGTTACTTTATTGAGTGACTAAACAGCAATCTTAATTTTTATTACTAAAGAGCATATAAGCTTGTGATACGATAAATCCAAAAGGTATTCTTTTTAATCTGCTACTGTATACGCGATATTCAATATATAAAGTACAATAAACATGATATAAAATACATTGAAGTCAACATGTTCTTCAAAAGTCAACGTGCACTTTGTTTATCATTTCAACTTTCCACAATATTCAGCAAGTCGAAAAAAATGTGATTTATTTATTAACATTCGTAGAATATTGGTTTACGAATGTTATTACGTGACCACAAAATATTTTATGGATTTAAATTATTCATTTTCGTCGACAATACATTTGTCAACTAAATAAGAAAAGAAGATATACATATAGATTGTATTTCCGGACGTGTTTTTTCTATTGGAATTATTTTTTATTTTTGTTCGTATTTATTATTATTATTGCTTGTTTTTACTATACATAATAATACCTTAGAATCGTTGGGTCAATTTCATTCAGAACTGGCCAGTGTCCTGTGCATGCTTCACATTTGCAATCAAACCAGTACTGGCATCTTAGATTCCTCTTCCTTTCAGCTTCAGGTGTTCTTGTAAAAATTGGACCATAATTTTCAGAGATGTCTTCTCCTTGTGATATCGATCGAATTGCTCGCACGATCATTGTGGTACCGATGAAATACCTATGAAGAATAACATTTTTAATTTATTGCTTTATGTAATCCTAAGCAGTCATAACATAGATATAATTTATTTGTTTATAAAATTCTAGATAGATTTTGAAATTTAGATAAAGTGCGTTTCAATAAGACGAATTATTCGTTCGTCTGTGTGCCAGTTTTACATTACTTGTTTATTTTATAACAAATGCTACTCTAGAATATAATTTCTAGGAAGATTTTACTTCCTAAATAAAAAATTCTTTTACTATGATCATTACCTGATGATACCAGGATTGCATGAGTGATTGAACAGTGATACTGTCGGATATAGTCCCCCACCAATGAATATACTTTTAGCTTTCGACAAAGTTTTATCACCTTTTGACATTGTCAATTCTGAAATCTAAAAGAAACGGTACACAAATGAATTTATAAAGTATTTTATTACAGATTTGATATTTCTTTTATTTATTATCGGATTTATTATTCAATTTATGCGATATTGCAATTTATATTTTCTATACCTATTAATATTTTCTTCTGATTTAATTAATTAATTAAATTTAATTATTTAATTAATTATTGCTAATTTTTGGTAGTTGCACAACTCACCTCGTGAGTATTGAATTGTAGTAACATCAAGTTATGAAGAATCAAACCGCCTATAAATAATTCACCTTCCGAAGGTTTTGCTTCTACCGTATCTGGAGTTTTAACATCTTTTGGAAAATATGGTCCCTGCTTTAGAAGTCTGAGAAGCCACATGGCTATGTAGGTTCTATGGATATGATCTTCTGCGGTTCTTGCGTCTTCATGAGTTACTAAATAAAAATAAATTGAATATTGCAAATTACTATCTAATTAAATACATTAAATACTTTTGATAACAATTTTTCAATTACAACATGTATTATAATTTATTGGTAAAATGTGGATTTTTACATTTTAGACATTTACATGTCTAACAAAATTTCTGTTGAATTAAACGTTTTGTGATTAATATACAATTAATAATAAAATAGATTATTTACTCAATCCATAGAAGGCTTCAAAATCGTGACTTTGATAAGGTCGTTCTGTCGTGACATTAAATCTACCCTTAGACGTTTCCAGCCTGCTTTTAAGTTTAATTAACTGTTCATAGGGTCGCTGTGCGACTGCCCTTAAAGCTAAGAAACAAGTTATAGAAGTATTCGAATTCCATAAGGTAGGCAGCAATATGCATTCGTTTTGATGCACCTTTGCGTCCACATTTCTACAACGAACACTGCAGTATGCCACAGAACTGCATACATTACATGCAGCTGGTATCGGTACGAATACCCTTGTGAAACAAGAATGGCAGTGAGTAATCCTGGAATGACGTTAAAAATATTGAAATTAATATATTAATTTTCAAATAATCTTACATGACATATTAGTCATTCATTTCACTCTCTTAAATTTTATAATCATAATGTAAATAATTCGGGAGGCTCCATTGTCAGTGTAAAATATTCGCACAAAATAAATAGTTTTTATCTTTGATTTTAATAACATATTTATTAAAATCGTTCGGTTACACTAGGGAAAGTCGTTTAATACTAAAACGACGGACTTTTTTTGACAGAAACATAATCGAGTATGCTTAGGATCATTTATATTATAATTTCCTTTATCAATTTTTTTTCAATATATTTCTTACAATATTCTTTCTAGATGAAACATTTAAAAATTTTAATTGTCAAAAATAAAATTGTCAAATAACAATATTTGTACTTGGGCTCCGCTGTCCGAGTGTGTTAATAAAACTGAAGTATTCTTAAAGAACTATACCTGTATTCAGCTAATAAGAGTGCGCAATGTGGTTTTTCTATTACCAATATTTCGCCAGGCTCAATATTTTTGGTAGCAACAGCGTGTCTTCCTATATCACCACCTTCGTCTCTAATTTCAACTGCTTTACTGCAAGCAGGATACAATGGATTGGAATCCTCTATCTTTGGAATCGTTTTTTTAGGTGGTTCATTAATTTTGTGTAGCTTTTGTGCTGTCTTTGCATACTTCTGAGCGATTTCATTGCCTTTTTCCATCACGGCAAGCATGATTCTGATGTCCGATTGAAGTTTCTGTTTTTTCTCTATAATCATTTTCGTATCGTCGAGAGCTTTTAAAGCACTTCGAAAAGCTGTTACAGCTTCAGCGTGTCTTTTCAAACCCAGCAAACACCTAGCACGTCTTTCCTCGACCTTATAGAACAGATCTTTTGGGTACCCAACCCTTATAGCTTCTTCAACATCTGTTAGAGCATAATCGTGATGCTCCAAATGATAAAGTGTTGCCGAGCGATTGGCTAGAATGACCCCTGATTCTGAAAGTATGCTTTCGGTAATTATTTACTTTAAAACGCATATTTTTAACATTTCGAATTCATTCCATTATAGTAACAACGTAACAAAGTGTGCCTCATTGTAAAATTACTTTAGAAAGTAAGGTAAAGTCAATTTTTCATGCAGATACAGTAAGTTCTCCCTAAGTTTCCTTCAGCATGTAAACAAATATGGACAATTTGGGAAGAGAAGATATGATTATTCGAGCCTTGCACCTCGTTTTTATAATTGTTGACAATTGGCAACTATAAAAATGAGTCGCAAGGCTTGTATAATCGTATCTCCTCTTCTAAAATTGTTCATTTTTGTTCACAAGCTGAAGGAAAATTGGGGAGAATTTACTGTATTTACAAATACTTAATATTTTTTAACGATTACATGTAGACGACAAAGCAGCAATTAAAGTATGAAAGATTCGATAAAATTTTACAAGGTGGAAGGGAAGGATATACAGACTGTAAGTTAATAGCGTAAAATTATGAATAAGGTGATAATAGTGTAAACGTATAATAAAGGTATAGTAATATAAATGTCATGAATTTATTTAAAACGAATATACAAGAATTACTCAGTTACATATTCCTCGTTTTAGAATTGTAGGGCATTAACATTTACTATGAATTTTATTACAGATATTTATAAAAAGGTGAATTTATTTTACGAAAGGGTGACTTCCATTTGAAAAGGCGAATATAATCTACAAAGGGATAAAGGAATACAAAAAGATGAATGTAATGTACAAAAGGATTAATTTAGAGTGTAAACAGGTGAATATAATCTACAAAGCGATTCATTTTTAGTGCAAAACCTGTAAATAAATAGTAGGGTTAAGTCGAACCTCCATCGCGGTAGCATAATCGTAATGTTACATAGTGCAACTACGTTGTAATTCAGTTACATAGTTCAAATCTTTCAATTAATTAAATTGTTAATTATTTTAATCACAAGTGTGATTGAAATACAATGTAACTGAAATACAGCTCTTCAAATTGCAGTCCAGAACTTTGAAGAAGTGAGATACATTTTTATGTTTTTCTTTCGTATATTCATATTTTGTCTCTTTTACGTATTTTCTTCTCTTAGTACCTGTTAATTTATTATTTTTAATTCGTAATTTTAATTCAATTACATCGTAATTCGTAATTTTAATTCGATTGCATTGTGATTTGTAATTAATGTAATTTAATTACTTAGTATTTTGTAATTGTATTCCAATTGCAATAACAAATTACATCGTAACATAATCGAATGGAGATCTGAATTAGGAATTACAATGTAATTGAATTGCAATCTAGTTAAATTATTTTATAATTATAATTCCTTTAGTAATTCAATTGTAATTTTGCACAACTCTGGTAGAATCCATGAAAAGTATGCCGATTGTTACCAGGCCATAAATTCGCTCGAAACAAATGCGGCGTGGGGAGGCGGTAACGCTTTAATAAAGTTAAATAAATGGAACCGATAGCATCAGGATTCATTAATTACCTTCCAGAGGTGCCAGCAGAACAGCGTTCGAATATACTTCCAGGGCCTTTAGGAATTCACCGCGGCCAAAGTATTTGTTGCCGAGGTCCTTGAGTTGGCGAGCTTTCTCGCTGTTCTTCAACGCCCGATTGTCTACGTCTAAGGACAAATTATAAGCCACCGGGTACCTCAATAGGAAGCCGATCCTTTCGGGATTGCTGTTCAAGGACGCGAATCTTTTCAGATCCTGCGGACCCATCGCATTCTTCAGCTGCACTAGACTAGAGCTGAAGTATGTGCTTATTACGTTCTCCGAATCGTCCTTCAACATTTTTTGCGCGCTTTCAGAAAACTTTCTCCTGTACAGTGACTTTTATAATCGGTTCGAAAAGATTTGCGTATCCTCGTTCGTTATTAATCTACGAGCATTCTATAACACCTATTGAGATTGCTACGTATTGATGTTTCGTTCATTGAATTTCTAAGAAACATCGAGTCTACGAGCAATAGAATCACTAAGATTTCGATATGCACGATGATGTTTTGTTCGGTGTTAACGTAAAATCGGACGGATTAATTGTAATTAAACTCGCAGCGAATCGTGTATCTGGGCGACACGTTGTTGCTCAACGTTGCGAAGCTACACGCATCGCAACGCTCGTAGCTACTGGCACCGTCTACTCTACCAAAAACTACCCTCATCTATTTTTGTTCCCGGCTATTTTTGTCGGCGCAAGAGCTATAGCTCCGTGATATAACAAGGAAATACGACAGAAGCATGTTTACCGGACTGTCGCGAAATTGTAGCTGATCTAGTTTATTCGGCAAGTTAACTTTTCTTTTTCTAGCGAATAAGCTATTTAAGGGTGGTCATTTAGCTAAACACCACAAGCACTGGTAATTTTTCAGAAAAAATTTCGAAAATCTAGACGTCTATAACATTTTTGACGCTGAATCAAATTATGTAGAAATTAATTTTCCGTCTTCCATGTCTTTATTAGAAAAAAAAAATTACCTTTTTGGGAAAAAGTTATCGAGTCGAAAAATCTGTACACAATTTTCTTCAATATCATGTACGCAAACCACATTACAAATTTCAGCTTGAAGACTTCATTTTTGTTGGAGTTATTTTAATTTTAGCATTGATTGACTGCACTATAAGTGTACATGCATAGTGAAAGAATATAATTTCTTTTAATAAAAACATGGAAGTTGGTAAAAAATTAATTTGCACATAATTTGGTACAGCGTAAACAATGTCATATAAGTATAGATTTTCAAGATTATCGGAAAAATTTCTAGTATGTACTAAAATGTAATTAGAAATTTCACTTCATTTGATTGGAAACAGTTTTACTGCTTATGTACTTTGTTTATTTTCCACAGGAAATTGGTTGTATTTATTCCGTTACATTTAAATCGTTAGCTGTTTTATTTAAGCACAAACAAATGTAACGTAAACATTGTTTTGAATTGCGGTAGGGAAATTTTAATGTCTAAAAGTATGATTTTCACTGCTTGTACCGGTTTCACATTTTTTGTTAAAGTTGCTGGAATGATAAAGATTTTTTTATATAAAATGCGTACATTCTAAAAAAGAATGGCGAGAGCTCTAAAGATATTTTATGAAAAAATTCAAGACTAAACTTCAATTTCTCATGAATACTATGTATTATTGAAAGATTTGTCTCAAGAATAGCTTTTTTCGTAGATTTCGTATAATTGATCTGAATGTGACTACCTATCCGCAGTTTAGCAATTACGGAATATTAGTTTCGTAATTTATTGTCTTATTAGGTAGGTAGAAGAATGTTGGTGTGAGAAAGTAAATATTCTTTAAGTACATTTGATGTGACATAAGATGCACGTAGATATATTTAGACGTGATATTTTGTTACGAAATCTTATAAGTTAATTTAAGTACAATATATACAAAACTTAAACGATGTAGATAATACAGCTATAAAATGTACACGGATGCAGTATTTTTTTATGAAAAAAATACAAAATTGTGGAACTAAATTTTCTAAGGTTGAATATCAATACAATAATATACGTGTTACTCCGAAAAAACGTGAATAATACGTTTGAAAGTTTCTAAAATTATGTGAATAAAAATAGA